TTTTTTTTTTTTTTTTTTTTTTTTTTTGTCTTTTGTCTTTTTCCGTGTCCGGCAACGGATCGCAACCCTCAGTGTTGCCCCCGCACCGGACTGGGGACCGGCAACGGGATCGCAACCCTCGGCGCTGCTCCCGCGCCTCGCTCAGCCAGTGAGCGGGAACCGGTCTGTATGTGGGATCCGAACCCTCAGGCAGGAGCGCCGCCGCACTTCCCAAGCGGCGCACTTATCCAGTGTGCCACCGGGCCGGCCCAATTGTCAGACTGCTTTGCTGTAATTAACTTTCTTTTCTATCTCCTCTACTAGACTGGATTGAGGTAGAGACTGGGGCTTTGTGTCTGTGTACTTGATACACTCAGTCCCTATGTTTAGCAAACAAAGTTATGAATGGTCTGTGAAATCTGACATCATTTCATTTTGATTTCTAAAGTAGTTCCATTAAAGGACTGTTAAACCATTTTTTTTTTAATGGTTTATAAAAGATTCTGGCTTCGTTTTTCTTTTTTTTTTTTCCCCCTGTATCTTCCGTCTCTAGCCCTACTATCATTTCTTCTATAAAGTTGAATAATTGGAAAGTGACAAGTCTTAGTATTCAAGGATTCTTGGCTTTTTACTGCCTTAATGCAAAAGAAAAAGAGCCGTGAAACCATATTTTTTGGTGACAAATTACAGATGTATATATTTATGGGGTACAAAGTGGTATTATGGTTTTTTTAATACAATGTGGAATGGTTAAATTATTCTAATTAACATATTTCTCACCTCAAATATTTAACAATTTTGTGATAAGAATATATGAAATTTACCCAGCAAAATTTAAATGTATAGTACTGAATTATTAGCTATATTCTCTATGCTGTGTAGTTGATCTAAAAAAAGAAAAAATGCGAAGCCATATTTTAACTTGAGTGCTTTTTTTCATTCTACAGGATGATGCAAATAAAAATGGTGGCAAGTGGATTATTCGGCTGCGGAAGGGCTTGGCTTCCCGGTGCTGGGAGAATCTCATCCTGGCCATGTTGGGGGAGCAGTTCATGGTTGGAGAGGAGATCTGTGGAGCTGTGGTCTCTGTCCGCTTTCAGGTAAGCCAGCCATGAGCCAGTCTGGCTTCTTGTGTTGCCCTTGCTTCCTTGATGCTTCTGGTTTGCTTTGATGATTCCTTCTGTTCCTCCTGTAGGAGGACATTATTTCAATATGGAATAAGACTGCCAGTGACCAAGCAACCACAGCCCGAATCCGGGATACACTTCGTCGAGTGCTTAACCTACCTCCCAACACCATTATGGAATACAAAACTCACACCGACAGCATCAAGTACGTGTTGTGGGGGTTTGGGAGAACATGTCCCTAATCTTAGCAGAAGTAGATCCATAGTTGGGCCCAGAGTGATATGATAGTACAGGAGACTGATTTGTGCAAAAGGGGCAGACCAGGCTTCCCCTCTAGGGCTTCTGGCCAGTTGCTCTAGTTCTTGTTGGTGAGGTTCCCTGTCCACCTATACTATGAGGTATTTGTAGAAGAGAGAGGCCTTCTGCAGAAACCCAGTTGCACTGCCTAGACTTGCTTCATCTCTGTAGGTTGTCTTGTCTTTCGTATGCTAACAACCATCCTAAAATGAAAGACAAAGCTTTTCTTGCTGTTTTTTAAGATAATTTCACTGAACAATAAAGTCCTCTTCCCTGCCCACCCTTCACTCCACTTTTGCATGTCTTTTTAACCTATTAGCTTCAGTCTGCTTTCTTTGTCTTGGGAAATTGACTTCTTATCAGGAATGAGGACTCCATTTCCTTGTGTGTAGAGCTGGAATCGTAGAGGAGGCAGGATAGCGTGTGTGAGAGAGCAGAATGAAAAGGAAGCTTGAAGGCCATGGGGAAAATAAGCTTTGCAGTCTCCCTAGGACTCAAGAAAATGGAGCTGCCTTTCCACTGATTAGGAGCTGCCTGAAAGTCACTGATTAGGCTTGCTCCTTCAGTGATTGAGTGTCACAAATAAGCTCAGGTTATTTTGAAAAAGTTGTGGCAAGTGGCTAACAGATTGTCTCAAAACCAGAGGGAGAGCTAGCCAGCTATAAGTGAAGACTTTCAGGTTTAGTTCTCTCCTTTGGCCTTGTATCAGTATGTGCCTTTTTCAAGTTTCTTTGCAACTCTGCTTCAGTTTCCCCACCTGTAAAATGGGGGCCAGTAATACTTTACCTAACAAGGCTGTTGTGAGGCTGATTTAATCTTCGTAACTGAGATGGAGATGCCCTTAACAGGGCCAAGTGTTATTATTGCTGCATTCATCATTAGTATATCATCATCATGTTATTAAAGACGAGTAGTGAGCCCAGTGATTGTGTTTAGCAGGCAGACCATTTGTGAATCTCTTTCCCATGCATTCACAGATAGGGCCAAGTGTTATTATTGCTGCATTCATCATTAGTATATCATCATCATGTTATTAAAGACTAGTAGTGAGCCCAGTGATTGTGTTTAGCAGGCAGACCATTTGTGAATCTCTTTCCCATGCATTCACAGACAGTGATATGGGTGGAGTTGGCTTAACCAGCTAAGTGCCAGTTTTTAACTGGGAGCACTGCCATGGGAGTTGGTCCGTAATCAAATGGCTAGACATGACTCATCATAGCCACCAGCAGTTATTAGCTAGCCGTGGCCCTAGTTATTTGCCTTAGCAGTCTTGTGTTAGCTTTGTTTTTCTCTAGGCACATTTTTCTTATTCTCTGTTCTGAGGTAGAAGTAGTTTCTGTCCTCCAGCCAGGTTCAGTCCAGACTGGAGAGATCTGCACCTTTTTAAGGTTACCAAATACCCCCCACCCCCATTTATCCCAGAAGCTAGCTTTTCACCTGGATAAGAAAGGGAAAGAGGTATTTTTCGTCAACTCTCCCCTCTCTGCTGTTCTCCCTTTCTAATACCTTGAGGGAGTTCTTCCTGACTTGGGTAGAAACATGTATAGAAGTCCTTACAGAGTCTAGAAGAGACTGTGGACTATTTTGCCTTAGTCTGCTAGAAAGACCGGCCTGCTGCTCGCTGCTTTATCCAGAGCTCGGCCTCTGGCACTCCAGCCCCGCAGCTGTAGGGACCAGAAAAGCCTCCTTGAGACCCACATACTACTTTCCCTTGCGTTCCCCTCTCTTTCCTCTCCCAATGAGCCAACCTTTTGCACTTCCAATAGAATGCCAGGCAGGCTGGGCCCCCAAAGGCTCCTTTTTCAAAACCTCTGGAAGCCGCGGTTGAATGTGCCATGACCCTCTCCCTCTCTGGATGGCACCATCATTGAAGCTGGCGTCATCGGAGTCTCTTGTTCTGTTGGCGTGCTACCTGGAAGATCCTTCTGTCCTGGACAAGAGGAATTGGAAGAGCATTTTATGTTTTAAGAACAGGCTGACACGCAGCAGCTACAACAACAGCTGAGATCACTTAATAAATGGTGCTAAACTAGCTTGTCTCATGCTCTTGCTCTTTATGGTGCATCAAAGATGTGACCTTTCGGACTGACTGTCACCATATTAAGGGATGGCACAGACTTCTCCATGGAGAGCCATCCAGGGATGCAGCCTCACTCCCATAAACCCATTGTGTAGTGTCATGCAGTATTTTGTTCCAGGACTGCTGAGGTCTGACACAATGAGGTGACATCTGGCTCTCAAAATTAAGTCCCCATTTTCTGGTATTGAATTTTAGTTCCCATCTAGTCATGCTGATGACAAGAACAGAGTGATTTCTGATTTAGAATTCAGTTTGAAAGTCTGCTGAGGTTGGAAAGGGGGCTCCTTGGCCTTTGCTTCGCTGACTTCCATTTGCCTTTACTTCAAAGAAATCTCTTGCTTGTAGGTAAAGCCCTGCTTCCATCTGTGTGTGACTGTACATGTATAGCTTCCTCACTTTGTGCTAACAGGGTTTTCCCACTGGTGCCAAAGCTGCCCAAGCCACAAGCTCTTTGCCAGGCTTCTCCCTTCTGCTTTCCCTTTAGAGCTAGATCATCTTCCTCTCTGAGCTGGCCCTGCTTGCGAGATCTCAAGATTATAGCCCTTCCCTTTCTCCCAGTGTTACTGTGCGTCAGGATCTGGGGTGGGAAAATGTCTTCACCCTACGTGAGTTTGCTCCTTAGGATATCTGACCATAGCACGTAGCAGCCCCTCATATGCTTTGTAGCTTTGGCTTGTATGTGCTGCAGCTTGGCCTTTAGGCCCTTAACCTGCATGTAGAGTTTTAGCAAGCCTCGTGTTATGTTTTCTTAGGAGCTACCACCAAGAACAAAAATAAACAATCACTTTTGCAAACACTGGGTCGGGCTGCCTGAGAGGGTCTGTGAAAGTGGCTGTGGATGTAAGGTTGAGTTTTCCAGAGTGGCTGTTCACTTTGGCAGTGACACCCTGTACTAGTACCATCCTGACTTACCCCAGTCTCCATGTGGCCTTTGACCGCACAGAACACACACATTGGGACCAGCACATTGGGCTCAACATGCTAGGGGTATTTGTGTCACTGCTTCTTTGTTTAATGTATATCTAGAATTGGTTGAAGTACCTAGAAAATGGGAGATTTGCTGGAATATGGAAAGGCCCATTCTCTATGTTCTTAGCATTTCTCAGAGTTATCTTCTCTGTCTCTTTCCCTCTTGCCTTCCACTATCATGTTACGTGCATTGACCTTAATTTCAGCTCTACTGTAATTGCTCTGGGGGATGAGCTTGATGTTACCTTCCAGAGGAAGAGTCGATCAGAAAGTACCGAACTGATCTTGAGACGCTTCTGATCCTTGCCACATTGAACAGAAGTCAGAACTAGTTCTGCTCTGTTCTAGTCCTTGTGGCTCTTCCACAGGTATGGGCTTGTTTCAGCCAAGGAACAGTACCTGCTGGGGCTCGAGAATTCGGGAAGTGAAGGAAGAAAACCAACAATTGTTCTCCACCAAGTACGCTGGAGATTAGGGCTGCTGGAAATGGTGTGGGGAGTTTTTTCAGGAGTGGCTTAGATTTTTCAGTCAGGTGTTCCTGACTCCGGCTTGCTATGTTTCAGTTCAGTCTCTAGTGTCCTCCTTCAAGTGTTTGATTTTTCCAGCCTTCCCCCAGTCTTGCTGCTTGTGGCCTTTTCTTCTTGCTGCTGCACCCTTAGGTGAGCTGAGAGGCATCCACTGCCACACAGAGTGGACTGTGAGCTTTGCTGCAGAGGACTCCTGCCCTTGTTTATTGCCGACAGCTCACCCCTAAGTAATGGGAAACTTGGTAATTGAGTTTCTGCTCAGGTCATCGCTCCTTTTAATGAGGCCAATTCATGTTGAATTTTCATAGGTTTGGGTCCTCGCAAGCATCAAGTGACTCATCATATCCTCTGCTTTGAGGAGAAATCTCATAAAACAGCCAGAATCATGGGGACACCAGGATAAAACTGGGTACAGAGCCATGTAAAACAACAGTGTCTTTTGTGAGGAAACTCCTCTTTGGAATAGTCTCATTAATTCCCTTGTACAGCTGGCCTGGAATGGAAAAGGGGAAGACAGCTTCCCATAGTGGGCCACAGTGCTGGGTAAGACTGGCCAGACTTCTGTGCAGAGAGAGTTGAGGGTAGGTGATTTCTCTTTATTCCTTTATTCTAGAGGAGAAACAGGCCGAATCATGGGGACTTTCCTTTACCATGTCTAGATGTCATTGTATTTTAACACTGAACTTTAATATATAGCCAAGGACCAACCCATCCCTTCTCCTGTCATGGCTAAGTCATAGCCCAGCATAATTGCTGGCCCAGCTTTGTGTTTGTGAAATGCACTGCCATACTGATAATCAAAGTGAGGAAAGTCCAAATTAGCAGGAGTCTGAGCTCCTCTGTGGGTGTTGAGGGCTGGCTGAGTGCAAAGCTGTGAACCTTGCAGGCTTGGGGCAGCCCTTCCAGAAAGGCAGAGAAATGAGATCTCTCTACTCTCAGAATTTGCTTTCTGGTAAGTGAGATGGGACAAGAGTGGTCTTGAAAGGGCTCTTTGTTCTCTGTCATTTGAGTCTCTACAGAATTCCTGTAGGCTATATTAATCATGGTAATTTTTTCTTTTTTAAAAAACTACAGTCATATGACACTTTTTACATTTAACTTGTTCTTTCTTTACCTGTAAAAGAAGAAAGTTTTAATATTACCCAATATGCCTGGGTTGCCAGGCGAAAAATAGCTAGAATATTCACACCTGGCTTTTGGCAGTGGATTTGCCTCTTAGCCAAGCTGTTGGCCTGTGAGAATAAGAGCGATTATACCAAAGACTATAGCCAGCTATTTTATTTCCACTGACTCCATGGGAGGAAATTTCTTAACCCAGATTTTTCATGTTGAGGTTTAACATATACTGAACATATTTCTGAAGAAACTGAGAGGGCGATTTAATACTGGAATGGATTAGAGGGCAGCTCTGCAGTTCATATTTCTTCAGGTCCTTGACACAGAGAATTGCTCTGTTTAGGCTCATGTAGGTATGGGCCTTTCTGGAAACAAAAGGATAGATAAGATGAAGCTTCAGCACAGCCGTGTAATTTCTTGACACCTAAGTTGTTTAAGATGGAATTTAAATGTCACTATTAAAAAGAGTGAGGGTTTCCCATGTCATTGCCCCAACATTGGATTTTGCTCTGCCCTTGGTTCGTTTGGAGTAAAGAGTGAAACTGCCTTGTGACAGTACTAACAAGGGCTCTCCAGAAGGGGCTGTCTGTGGGACAGGCATCTTGCTGTGGAAATTGAGTTTAGGAATTGACAAAGACCGGCATGTTTGTTTGGTGGTCTTACATTTTTTCCCAATTTAGTTAGCATAAACTAGTAGCTTTGGTGATACTCTCTGAAGAAACCATTAACTGCACATCTGCCTCTTATTCTAAGACATAAATCATTAACTTATAAATGCTGCTGTTCAAAAGCAGGAAACAGTAATGAAACTGGTATAAACATTGCCTAGAAGAATGAATTTGTTGTGCCAGGTGTTCATATTTAAACTCTTTCTTTAAAAAAAACAAAAAACTGTAGAGGGCCTGAAAAAGTATATTTTAGTGATCATACTATTGAATGTGCACCCAGGGTGATAATATACTGGCATCAAATTATACCAAGAATGGAATAATTGATAATAAGGAGCATTAGGTTTAGAAGTGCCAAATTTTATATATAATTCCAAGGGAACTTACCACTTTTGGGCTGAAAAGTGGCTAGGTCAAAAATGTAAGAAAATCAGCTCCTCTGAGAAAACTTGAGGTGGGTTAGAGCTTCCGGAAGTGGAGAAGATCTGGCTTTCTCCTTTCGCCACTCATCCAGCAGTCACCGAGGGCCCGTTCTCTATGGAGCACCACCTGAGAGACCATGTACCACTTCAGTCACATTTCTCATCTCTTCCTAACTCCAAATTCTAAGTTGAGTTAATCTGCACAAAAGTTGTAATGAACCCTGTTCCCTGGAAATTTTGAACTGCCATGACCCACACAGCTTAAATTTTAAGCTAATAGTTACGTGGATATTTTAAGAAACAGATGGATCTTGACACATTTAGGGTCTGAGTTTAGAAGGGCTAGAAGACTGGGAATGTGAAAGCAGAAAATAGTGTAATGTTCTCATTGCATCATTAGACATCATAATGCTGTTGGGTACTTGCCTTCACCTTCAGGGTGAGGTCTCGTGAAAGACTGCATCTACCACCTGCTCCCATGTTCCCATGGCAGAAAAGGCAGGAAGTGCTGCTGCCCTTTGCTGCAGTAAATTGGAAGCGTTTCCAATGATGATTGAGCTTTAGCTCTGACCTCACTGGCCTCCCCTATAGTCTTGTCAAAGGAACATGGTTGTGGATCCTCAAGGGAATAGTGAGGATGACTTCCCAAATGGAGTTACCAGTAGAAGTGCCAGCTGCCCCTGCTAACCTGAGAGCAAATCCAATGGGGACCTTGCTATTCCCTGGTACCTGTGGATCCACGTAGCTTGGAGGGCTTCAGAAGTGGGATGTGGGGTTATCATGTCTGTTCTTTCTGTTCAAAAGCTTTTGATCTAAATGTGCTATTGTGTTTTTTGTCTCTGGTTTGCCAGGGCCTGGGAGGAGTTTCATGGCCTGGTGAACAGCAGCGGCCGCTGATCGGACGCTCCCCCTCTGTCTCTCACACTCAGGGTAGGGCCTTGTCTATCTTCTCTGTAACCCTGTAACATACCTCTCAGCCACAGGACCCCTCTTCCCACGGGGATGTGCTCTTCCCATGTACCCTCAACCTTGCCTCTGCCAATATTGAACCTCAGAGAAAAGTTGAGTCCCAAACCACTGGATTCTTATCCTCCCTGGGTCATATGTCTCCAGGCAAACCCCTGGGCAGGTCACTTAACCTCATTATGCCTGTGTTTTCTCATTTGGGAAATGAGGCTCTGTGAACCAACAGACCTCTGAAATCTATTTCATTGCTAACATTTCATGATGATAAATGTGCCACAAGTCTTTTTTCTTTTGCTCAGAGTGGTCATATTTAAGCCATCTGGGTATGTCCTGTGACTAAAAGGGCAGTTCCACAGGCCCCCGAAATGGGTTAGGTGAGAGGTATGTCTTTTGTTTGCTGGTGGTGTTTGTCAGTTGTGAAAAAACAGTAATATAAATTCAGGGTTTCAGCAGTGACAGTAAACAGTGGGTAGATTTCAGAGCTGTGGAAGAGACAGTTCCAGGCTATACTGTAACTAGATGTCACATGTTTACTAGTAGGGAGAGGCATTGAGCAAAGGAGGGAGCAATGAAAGCAGTCACTTGAAGAATATTTGTATTTCAGTTAAGAGAGCACCAAGTGCATGTCTGCCTCTGTGGCAGAAGGAATTGGGTAAATTTATTCTGAATGAGGAAGGGATGGAAGTCCAGTATCTGCATGTGCTGGAGATAAGAGCCTGTTCCCGGACAAAACTATCTTCACCTCTACCATCCCCGAGAAATAGAGTATTTCTTAACTTGGAAAACAACATGTCAACTGTAGAAGCTGCTTCAGAATTCCCCCTTTACATGCCTCAGACGGGACAGAAGAGAGAAGATGACCAGGAGGGACAGAAGCAGGTGGCCAGGGGTCTGGGTGCTCCATGTGGCTGGTAGCATCTGTAGATAGACAGTCACACATTTCCTGCCACATGAGGATGCCACCCAAACCTTTTTTTTAGTTTGATTCCTTTATTGTAAATTCCATTTTCAGATGGTAATACCAGATTTTTTAAATTGTGTTTTAAAAGGTTTCTCTTTAAAATATAGTCAACATAGATTTCTACGATGGCTGCTAGTATACATAAGGAGGGATGAAAAACATGTCAGCTCTAATAGTGGATAAATTATTTTTATTTTGTGGGCTAAAGAGTAGCAAATATTTGAAATAAGTTAAATTTTTAGAAGCCTATAGAAGTGCTGTAATGGAATTGCTTTAATAATATTGCCATATTTAATTATTTCTAAGTTGTTGGGGGTATTTTGCTTTTAATATTCTTAAAATCGGGTGCTTAGCAGTGAATGTGATAAGAAAGGTTTTGTCATAGTTTAATTAGCAGTGTTTACTTTTTAAAGTACATGAAATAATGGTACTTTTAAAAATTGGCAGCATCTTAAGTTCCATGAGAAAAAGTCTTTAAAACGAAATTGGTTAAGCAGTAATGGCCACACACACAAAAAAACCCAAAATGAAATAGGAATAGACAGAATGGAAGAAAACTTAAAAATGACTCCCTCTGCCCTTAGCAGACACTAAATCCCCCAGGAAAAATATCTTTGAATAGCTTTGAAAAGTCATACATTTGCATAATTGCCATTTTGTGGTCTCTCTGTTCTTTTTGTTGCCCCCATATATTTTTTGGACAGGGAAGAGGCAGGTGAAGGGAGCATTTCATGGTTTAGGTGTTCTCCTTGAAGCATAGACTTGGAAGTCTGTAAGGAGTGTTTGAATTTAAGCAAAAAAAGTCAGCTCACTTCATTGTCCTAAAGGATTTCATATTTCAACTCTATTGGTTTAACCTTGCTTTAAGCAAAAGAGGTGTTCTGAGAAGATACACATGCCATCTTAGAGGTCTCTTAACACTTTTAAGCCTCTCTTCCTCTCTCTTTTCTTTCTCCCCTTCTAAGTAGATCTTGATCTATGAAGAAATTTGGTAGAAAAACTGCTATTTAAATAATTCTTCTTGAACCACAAATAATTTTCCTCAATTTATTTGCTAATATGATTTATCTAATAGTAATAGTTATTAAAATAGTGATGTCTGATAGATTATTTATTCAAATAGTCCTAGTATTTTAGGGCTGTTTCATTTGACTTCTATTACAAATAAGTATTGCCCGTTTAGCCATGGCTTTAGTAAAAGTTCCAGTTAGCTGCTGGGAAAGGATTCTGGTTACTTAGATGTTTCATCTGACATGCAGAGGACAGTGATCTGTACTGTTGGGGAATGAAGTTGGCATGGTCACTGAGTGGGAGATGAGGATTGAAATTTGCCCCGCTGAAGCTAGAAAGGGATTGCAGCTTTACTGAATATGCAGGGAGAGAAGAGGAAACCAGAACTGGCCTGTGGTGGACAGCTCCTGTGTCCTGTTTCGTACTCTTAAGCATAGCCCATGCACCATCACAGCATTGCCAGATGAGTAGAGGGCTAGCTTTCAGGAGCTCACTGTGGATTTTCTAAATTTTAGTTTGCTTTTAAAAGAAGAGAATCATATTTAAAAGAAAAAAGAAAAGTTGCCTGTGGCCTCTGCTACTTCCTGACTTCATTCACCTTTTCCCTGTCTCTCCATGAGCTGCAGCCTGGGGCAAGGGACATAATTGAGTATGAGTTCCCACCTTGTTTCAGGTGAACACATTCCTCATGCTAAATTAGGCACTGAGCTATTCTCAGCCCACTATTTTTTTAGAAAGGCTGGACCGAAGCCATAGGGCCCCACTGCCACCAGCCTGCTTTAGCTGTCAGGAGCAGTCCACCCACCCTCATTGCTCATTTGTTTTCATGTTAAATCAGACAGGAAAAACACAGCTGGATTTTCCTGGCTTTTCCTTTACTCTTCCCTTTTCCATTTTGCAAATGGGCCTTAGAATGATATGACTTTTTATGTTTTTTTGACTATAAAGAGGTCTATAATAATAAAAATAATTAGAAGAAATATTAAATATCTGAATGGGAAAGTGTTATAGAACCTTTCAATTTACCTGCCATAGAGAAAATTTATTTCTGGCCCAACTCCAGCACAGAACAGGAATTATTCCAAAAGATAAGCTGACCTGCTTATGATGATGATTATCTTGAAAATTCTCTTCCTTATACCACTAAACAGCTGAAAGAGCTAGAACCACATAGTTGCCTCCCATCTCCCTTACTGGAGGATAGATAATTCTCCCATAGTCAGAAAATTCTGATTCTACCTTCTCACACCTCTGCCTTTCTGTTCACTCTTCTAAGAAGAGTGGGATCCCTACCGATGGACTTCTATTGCCCAATGGCTATATGGCCCTAGAGGTGGCATTTAAAGGGAGGAAATTGAACAGAGCAAATGTTCCTGCATAATCACTTTGTTTAGTATTAGATGTGTGTAGGATAAAGCATCTTCTGTAATGCAGTCGCAGTCACACAGAACATTGTCCCTGAGGGAACTCAGAAGTAACACACACACATCAGTTACACCTGCTTTGCTCCATGTTATGATCACATATGTTCCTTATCATTCTTTGCTGGCTACTTGTGACACCTCAGAGGGATCTGTCCTTTTGAAAGTTTTTTATACCATTGGCCTTTCAAAAAGATGACCATCCCATTAACTCTGTGTTTAGCTTTTAGCTTCTTAAATGAAAATAGTTGAAATACTCAGTAGCCACTGATAAATGAACCACATGGACATGCATGTCAGTTATAAAAATACCAATGGACTTTGAGATGACATCAGTTTCTTCTCAGCCCAAGTTCATCTCCACCAGCTGCAGTTTCCCCTCTCAGTGTACCTATCCACATTCATTCTCTTTGTGGGGTGAGGGCTGTTACTGTCAGCCTGCCACCATCATGGAGGAGAATCTGTTAGCCAGTAGCAGGAGGAAACTACTGTTTGGCTGTGCTGAGCACATTCTTTCTTCAGTATTTATTTACTCTGGACCAAGTGCATATGCCTAGTTAATTGTAACAACTTTTAGATAGGTCAGTTAAAGCCAGAGCTTCTAGAATGTCCCTTTAAAATGAAAGGGAAATAACTACTCCAGAATCCAGGTTAATGAGAATTTCTGTTTCAGATTTCTGGTAAATTTAAGTCTGAAGCACTGGGCTAGGGCAGCAGCGAGGTGGCCTTTAAAGCCCTGCCAGCCCTGAGATTTTGAAATTCAGATGGTGATGTGACCTGCTAAGATTGTCATTGGCTCAAGAGGAGTTACTAGTGGGTGATCAAGCCTGCCTGCAGCCAATAGGAGGCAACTAGGAGGACACATGTTAGGATCTGCTTGTCCTCTTTCCCCCCTACCCACCACCCGACACACTTATCTTTCAAGAGTTAGAGCCATATTTCTAAAGTGAAAGATACCCAGATTTCACTCCTGGAATATCCTTTCCTTTTGTAAGCAGCTCTGACTTTTAAACTGACGATTGTTGGTTGTTTGGTTGGTTTTTTATTTATGTAATATAGTCACATGGTTCAATTTTTTGAAAAGTATGTGTGAGAGAAAGTCTCCCTCACACGCTTACTCCATCTGCCCAGTTTCCATTGTGCCCTTTCCTGCCCCGTGCCCCAAGTACCCACTGTTGTTGGTTTCTTGTGTAGCCTTTCAGAGTTTTCTAATGTATATACAAGCAATATGAATATGTAACCTTATTTCCCCCAGCCCCACTCACATAAAAGGTAGCGTACTGTGTACACACATTGTTCTACACCTTAAGTTATCAAGTTATCTTGGAAATATTTCCATGTTATTAGAGGGCTTCCTTGTTTTTGTTTTTTAGGTTGCATGATGTCTCATTATATGAATGTTTCATAATATTAATATTTAACCAGTCCCCTCTTAATCTGCATTTGGATTGTTTCTAATCTTTTGCTGTTGCAAACAATTGAATTGAAGTTTTTGAAGGGACTTGGGAGGTGGGTTGCCATTTTGGCATTAAGATTGGCAAGGAAGGAAGGTTGGTCCTGGGGTGTGTCATGGAGAGCCTGAGAGCTGCCAAGGTCAGTTCTCCCCTGTGTATGTGTGATTGTGTATAGATGATCTGTGTATTGAACACTCTATTTTCTCCCGTTTTTTTTTCAGGGACAATTCAAGCTTTCGAAATACAAAAATCACATTGTGAAAGTACACAAGCTGGCAATAATCCTTTTCTGTATGTGTGTGTTTGTACGAAATGGATGGCAGGCCTCCAGCCAGTCCTTCCATCTGCTTACTGAAGGGACGTCCCTGAGCCGCGTGCTCCCTTTTGCACTCATTTCTGGAGGACGGATTCCGCTAGACACCCTCCAGCATCGCTGACTTTATAAAGCGGAAAAAGAGAAAACGTGACTTTGTAATAGACAAACATTGTTTTTTAATGGGGTTTTGTGGGGGGAGATTAGCCTTTGGTTTTGCTGTGTGCTGTCCAGATGCCTCTCAGTGTCCTATTGTGCTCTTCTCATGCCGGATGAAGGGCATCATGACCACGTGTACATGCCAGAGCTGTCGATGAGAGTGATCAGTATTATGAATGTCTGTGCATCCAGGAAAAGCTTTCTGTTGGAGAGTCCCGGAATAGCTGTATATGCTCTCTTGTAGCTCTGCCATTAAATTATTGGGACATTTTGTTTCCTTCTCTCCCCACTTCCCCCATGCCCACCACTTTCTGAAAATGTGTTACTGATGTGATGACTCTCCAGGATTTTGTATCATCTGCCTTATGCCCTCCAGTCGTCCTTCCTGTGGGACTTTCTCCTTATCAGGCACTCCTGCACTTAGAATTGTAATCCAGTGGGTCATGCTAGTTTCACTGAGGCATCTTAGAGTATATGCTTTGGTAAATTAAGCTGAAGCAGAATCCAGTTAGATTAGGAGCTAGATTATAATGTAGGTTACAAGTGCAGGATTTGGAGGTGAGGGCAGTGACTGAAATCATTTTCCCAGAAAAGCAGGGCCTGTGTGTCAAGTCTGTTTCTGTGGGTTCTTTCATGTCCCTTATTGAGGAAGGGAAGCAAAAGCTGGTTATTACCAGGTGTTAATATTTAATATGTTAATTCTATGATCCCGAAACTGGGACGTTTGAAGAAAAGGTGACCTTGCTGGATGGCTATATTTGCATGGCTGTGCCTGTCTGTGGTGGTTGGAAAACCCTACTTTCAGTCTTCATCACCTGGTATATATGTTAGTAAATGTGTGCTGATCCATAATGCCCAGACAGAAACCTCTTGAAGCGACTGCAGGCATGCTTAAAAATGACCAGTCTCTCATCAGAGAAGCAAAGTAGTCTGACTCCAGAAGGACTGAAGAGAATCAAAAGAGCGCCTAGGATTCAAATAAGGAATAAGTAAGAGTCCTACAGCAACCTCCAATGAGCACTGTCTTACTTGGCTCTTGTGAGCAAAGATTGCAGTACCTTAAATTAAGGCCTCTCTTTAAAACATATCCTTGAAGGCTAGGGGGATCCTTAGCCACCTGGTCTCAGAGAAATCATGTGAGAGTAACATGCATTTCCTTATCATATTTATATTACTCTCTTCCTACTTTCCAACTCCTGAACATGCTCTAATTACCACTGTTTTGGGATTCTTTTTCCTGAAAGAACAGGGGAAGTACAGAGGCCAAAAGGGAGGTGCTTCCGTTACAGGTGAAGTTAGATAAGAAGATCTAGCAGTGATTGGAACTCCAGGAATATGAAGAATGCTTTCTGGTGTCCAGACAATTGTGAAGGGCTCAGGAAAATACAGGAGCAACACTGGCGACAGCGGGCAGAAAAGGCTGCCTCCTGAGATGTGTTCAGAGCCCGGGGAGATCTTCACTTTTGCCTAAACTCAGATTTGCCATGAAAATTCCAAAGAAAGCAGACATTTGGATTTGCCCTCCTTTGGGCATCTATCTGACTGTTGTGCATGCGTATAGGTGCATATGTGTACAATGTGTTGATGAGTGATGGTTTGGTCAGGCCTGGTGGGTAGGTGTGTTGTCCATAATTTTGCTTTTTTGGGGGGTGGTTCTCATTTGTTCAGATTTTTGCATCTCATATTTTCTAGAACTGCTCATGTTTCTCCTTCATCTTTGTCTTTGTAGTATTCGATGGTTATTTTTTTCCCATCAAAAATATGCTGACCCTATGATGGTTAGAACAAGGGGTTATCCCCTTTTAGGCAGCATCTTACACCCAGTGTTCTCCCAGAACAATTTATCCAAACCACCCATTTTTTCCAAACTAGCTTGAGAGGTCTTTTCATTTATTTTGACTTAAATACTAACACTTTTATGGCTATGGTATCACCTGTTCTAGAGACAAAGGGAAAAAAGGCCTGCCAGGGCCAACATAACCAGTGTGGTAGGTTGCTGCTGGAGAATGGGGAGTCGGTCTCTACTTTGCACAGTTGGGGCTGTTCTCCCCTGACCTGTTTGCTGGGTTCTCTGTTTGAAATTGGCCCTTACTTCTCTCCAGGGCTCACCAATCACATTGTATCCTTCTGTTTGCGCACACGTGCGTGTGTGTGTGTGCGTGCGTGTGTGTGTATGTGTGTGTGTGTGTTCCCTGTGACAGTGGCAGTGGCAATAATTTTCCACCCAGAGAGATGCTTGTGGTCCATGATGCTCCAAGAATGAATTTCCAAGTGTTTGCCAGCGGAGAAGGAGCAGAGGCTGTGACAAGAGTGTTTGGTGTTGCACTTTCAGAGCAGTTGTCTACTGCAGAAATAAATGGAAAATATCAGCAAGAACTGGGTTGTGGACTTGTTAATGCAAGGGAGTTTGGGTTATGGTAGTGTGTTGCTACTGATTCTGCCTTTCAGTGTATAAGTCTCCATTTTAAATTCATTCCAGAACAAAATATGTGAGATAGTCCAGACAATGCCAGTATCACTGGCATAAATTTATTATGAAGATATTCTCTAATTAGTATTAATCATTGCCAGAACAATTTACATTTTTAATATCAAAATACAGTTGTTAATTCTGAACTTGTGGTAAGGAATACTGGAATAGAAGGAAGTTCAAAGGATTAGATTTTGAAGTAAGAAGTCACTCCAGGCCTAAGCTTGGAATGTTTTATTTAGACTAAGTAGCTTAGCCTGAAGATGGACATATGGACATATGGGGCATGCTAATGGCCAGTGCCCATGTGAAATACTAAGAGAGAAGGAAACTTGCTGAGCTTCAGTTATTGTTGACAAAGGATTTAAGACAATATAGTCTTTTTTTTTTTTCCTTTTTGTCTTTTTTACTGACTGGTAACAGGATCGCAACCCTCAGTGTCACGCCCGTACTGGGGACCGGCAACAGGATTGCAACCCTCGGTGTTGTGTCCGCACCACACTCAGCCAGTGAGCGGGAACCGGTCTCCACATGGGATCCGAACCCTTGGAGGGAGCGCCGCCGCGCTCCCAAGCGGTGCACTCTCCAGTGCGCCACCGGGCCGGCCCAAGACAATACAGTCTTGAGACCCAGTTTCAGTAGATAGAAATCTTCCTGTGTCTATCAGTTATGGTCCAAGTAGGAGACAGAAACCATGCAAGTTAATTTTAACAATATGATATAAAGAATTGTTGATGCAGTGACTAACAAAGGAAAAAGAAAACACTGAAGAATCAAGGAGGTAGTAACTTCAGGGACAGCCCTGATGATGGGTGTTGCTCATTGGGCACTGGTGTCTTTGAGGACATAAGGAAGCTGGCTTTGAGCATGTTGGAAGTGGCAGCTGGAGTCAGCTGTGTCTGTGGGAATGAACTACTGTGACGATGCTGACAGATAAGAGGAGTGAGTCCCTTCTTCCTCCACATGGAAGCTTCCCTCAGTGCACTCTATTGGAAAAACACAACAGAGTGCCAGCTGGCAAAGCAGAAATGTTTGGAGAGTTCTGCCCCCAGTATCACAAAAACAGAAAGAGTGGGTGTGGAGCTGAGAGACAAGAGCTTTATCATTGGCACAGTCCTCCCCTTGAGCCACTCAGCATCTGTACACACTCTTCTACATGTCTTTGAACTTCCATACTGCCACAGAAACAACCATTTCTGCCCAACAAGATGTAAGTAACTGTAAGGTCTCACCTTCTCCCCAAAATGAGGAAGTGTAAAGCCCAACAATCCTGTCAGTCTCTGGGCTGCATTAATTCCTCTAATTGATTCACAGTCCCATCTGACTAGAATATAGGGTAACAAAATATTACCTAAAGGGTAAAGTTAAATTCCAACAAAAATTGCATAAAATAATGGAAAGGAGAGAGCAGAAAATTATGTGCACACATGCAAAAATCAAGGAAGAATATGTACATTGTCATGAGGCTAATTTATATTTATAACTTCCTTTTCCACTACCTATTCTGTATTTCCTTTGCCCTCAGCCAGGATTCTTTTTTTGATGTGGTTGTTCCAAATCTTTATTCCCTAAAGGGTCTGGATTAATTGTCCTGCTTTTAGTTTTTACAGTTTTCCATTTTTGCTATCTGAGAGGAACTCCAGAGAATTCTGGGTTCCAGACAGTTCTCCCTGCCTCTGTTGTATAGCAGCAGCTTGTTTCCCCTTGATACTCCCCAATCAGTAGAATAATCCCCTTATTTGTTGGCTCAGTGCCCTAAAGAGCCCAAAATAGCCAGGTGAGCCTCAGTTTACAATTCATCTTAGCCATTGTCATATTACCTGGCGGAAGCCATTTCTCCTTTGAAAACCAAGCCCTCCAAGTCAGCAGAACCTCTAGTTGAGGGGACAGGTGAGAGGAACCATGCCCACTTCCATCCTTTCATTCCTGGACCCTGAATTCTGGTTATGGGAAGGACAACTCATGAAAAGTATAGACTTTAAGGCAGAGCCCCATCCTTTCAAGATGCAGTCTTACAGATGGTGCTGTTACTGAGTCTTCAGTAGGTCATTCCACCCTCTAATTATCCAGCTTCTTCTGGTGAGGTATGTGGTAAAAGCAGTGAACTGGTCACTAGTCCATTGCCTCACTTCATTTGCTGTAAACTGAATTTCCTGATTAAAATAATATGGAGAATATCATGTGTTAGTCCATTTCTGTTGCTTATAACAGAATACCTGAAACTGGGTAATTTACAAAGAAATGAAATTTATTTCTTACAGTTTGGGAGTCTTGGTACATCTAGTGAGGGCTTTATTCTTTTTTTTTTTTTTTAAAGATGACCGGTAAGGGGATCTTAACCCTTGACCTGGTGTTGTCAGCACCACGCTCAGCCAGTGAGCGAACCGGCCATCCCTATGTGGGATCCGAACCCGGGGCCTTGGTGTTATTAGCACCGCACTCTACCGAGTGAGCCACGGGCCGGCCCGAGGGCTTTATTCTTGATGGTGACTTTCCACTCAACTCTCCTTATAAAGCCATCGTAATGATGCCTATGACCACCCATTACATCAATGGAAGGGCAGGCCCGTGGCTCACTTGGGAGAGTGACCACCAAGGCCAAGGGTTTGGATCCCTATATAGGGATGGCCAGCTAGCTCACTTGGGAGATCGTGGTGCTGACAACACCAAGCCAAGGGTTAAGATCCCCGGGCCGGCCCGGTGGCTCACTGCTATAGTGCGCTGCGCTCCCGCCGAGGGTTCAGATCCCACATACAGACCGGTTCCCGCTCACTGGCTGAGCGAGGCGCGGGGGCAACACCGAGGGCTGCGATCCCGTTGCCGGTCCCGGTCCGGTACGGGGCGACACTGAGGGTTGCGATCCGTTGCTGGACACGGAAAAAAAAAAAAAAAAAAAAAAAAAAAAAAAGGGTTAAGATCCCCTTACTGGTCATTTAAAAAAAAAGAAAAAGAAAAAAGAAACATCAATGGATTAATCCATTTGTGGGTACAGTCCTCACAGTCTAATCAACTCTTTAAGGGCCCACCTTTCAATGATCATAATTGGATTTCCCACCCTCAAAACTGTTACAGTAAAGATTAAGTTTCCAATACAAGAATTTTGGGGGGACACATTTGACCCTTACCACCATGCTAGTGAATAAGGCATTCCATTAGTCTATGGGTAGTTGTGTTGGAAAAAGCACTGTGGGCAGGGAATGCAAATTCACATCCAGAATATACATCCATTTACATGGTTTGCCAAGGGCAATGGAACTACTCCAGCCCTCCTCCCACTCTTTTTTTTGTTTGTTTGTTTTTAGCTTTGTTCCCTGGCCATCTGGATGGTCCACATTTTGGTATTTCTCATCTCCTCATGCCCATGGGCCTTGGGTCTGCTTTTCCTTGACTATAGTTGTTTGGCGTCAGTTGAAAGTGTCAGCCAAATCCTATTCCCCAAGTCTAGTCCTATGTGACCCCACGTACTGAGCTACCCTCCAAGATCAGTTTAACTCAAGCTCAAATGTCCTGGACGAATAACCCATCTCCATTCTAACAATTCTTAGAAGTACAGCTACCTGATGTATTAGCTGCAAGAGAACAGAGTCCCCAGGAAGCTTCTGCAGTCCTCTGAATGTCCATCCAACGAACACTTGCCTCCCAGGCTGGGCAGTGTGGTGGATATGGAGGTAGAGAGATGAACAGGAAGCTGCAGGCTGTACCTCGAGGAGCTCAGAGTCTAAAGGAGAGAATAAAGGGAAAACGCAGCAAGTGAGATGTGAATAAGAGGTAGGAAAGCCTCCTGGTGGATTTGTGGTTCATGTGTAGTGAGTGTGGGCCCAGTGCAGTGGGCAGGTTAACCTTCACTCACCTGGACTCTGGAAGTGCAGACATGAGGCCAAGGGGCTTCATGCTGGAGATGTTGCCTATGGGTGAGACTAGTATCATATGTAGTAAATTGTACCATTTATTGAAAACTCACTCTCTGTGCTAGGCACTATAATTGCTTTACATGCATATTTCCTTTAAATCTTACAGCAGCCCTCTGGGTAGGTTATTATGTTCTGTTTTACAGATGAAGAAACAGGCAGAAAGAGATTAATAATGCAACTTGCAGAAAGTCACTTATCATGTAAGGGCAGAGATGGGGCTTGACCTTGAATTCCAGAGCTCTTAAATCTTCTAATGCAGGTAAGGTTACAGCTCACCTAATCTGCAAGTCATTATTTGGATTGCTAGGAAAGAAGTTTCCAGATCAGAACCTGGCCCTTTGTCTGCAAAATGATCCAGCTGCTGCAGGGTGATCCCAATAGATAAGAAGTCCCACCCAGCTGGCCACAGAGAATCAAAAGCCAGTGAGCAAGGGAGCTTCCTCTGAAGTCCCTGTGAGGGGCAGGAGAACACAGTGGTTTGCTAGCAGGGTAACATTATCCTTTCCCCTAACTCCACACCATCCTCCTGACTCCAAGAAAGCCTGAGTATAGGCCTCACCCCAGATCACAACATGAAGGTTCCAGGCATCTCTATTCCCTGTTTCCACGACCATGAATATTTCTGTAAAATCCCTCTGCCTAAATCACTCTCTCCGTGTTTGTCCAGCAGGCCCATTCTCCTATCACACCCTCTCCACTAACCGTGGGAAGCAAAATTCCCACCCTGAGAGCAAAACTTCCCATATTCCATCTCACCCCACCTCTCCCTCACTGTAAACACAGACCATGGGATCATATACCCGGAGACTTGTCCTCCATCTTGATCTCTATCCATCAGGGTGGGGAGTGTTCAAAGTACCCCTTTACCCATCATACTCTCAGTGAGGAGTGTGAATGGACAGAGAAACGTGCCTCGAGGAGGTCTCTTCCCCCGTGATCCCAAGAAGGCAGGTAGATCAATGTCTCCCTCCAGCTGATGTTCCTGCTGCCCCTGA